ATTGCCAGGCACTGTCGCAGAGCGTCTGTCAACTTGTGGGGTCTCCTTACGCCAAGTAGGCAAAAACAAAAAATCGTGGATTTGAGTGATGTAATCGGCGCCGAGACACAGGAAATTTCCTTTTTCCGGTCTTCATAAAAGACAGGAAGAGGAAACGTATTGTTTAAGGTGACCGGCTGGGAACTGGATGACTGAATGGCCTAATTTCCTTTCAACAAAATAGGAATGGGTCGAACTCATGGGGAGACGATGCGTACTGTTTTCTTCTTTCGCGGACTGGATTTTCTATTTCTGTAGTTTCTTGCAGGGATATTTTGTAAACCTTATTGGCAGTCTTAGCTAGTGCCGATTTTGGAGGGTGGAATATCATAAAATGAGTCGCATTGATAAGAAAGAAGGATTGTGGGGCACCGGATCGCTTTTTTTATTATCCTGAGGTTTCGAACTCTTGTAGGAGTCCATCGTTAGAAATAAGAAACAGCGATAACAAGGGAGCTTATTCTAGTGGGTGTTTACCAATCAACGAGGTAGGGAACTGCCCATGCCGGAACGAAGACGAGCTGAGAATAGATTGAAGCCTGATTCACGGAAGGGAATTCAATCAACCGATGTATTGAGTCGGCGCCGGTGTGCAGAGCCTTACATAGTCATGTGTGTTCACGCTCAGGCGTCTCTCAGATTTAACATACCCACATCCTCTTTAATTATTCACCTTATACTTGTTGTCGCCGTAAAGAACCTTGACATGGGTGTCAGCTAATAAACCTTTACCTCTACAATTGCCCATCCCCTCCTCTCCGTTTTTTCATATGGTAGTTTCCTAACTTCTTATGACCTGACAACTCCTGACGGTTGATTGGTGTACACTCACTATAATTGGCCCGCTGTTTGTTGGTGTTCTTTTCTCTGATGATGGACTCCTGTAAGAGTTTGAAAGCTCATGATGATAAACAAGACGACGCAGTGCTCAGCAATCCTTCTTCCTTATCTGTACGAATACCTGGATCAGGAACGGGTTCATTCACTCACGAACCACATTTGCCGATCAGCTGGAATTTTTAGTTTTTTTTTTAAAATGTAATGCTTTTGCCTCTAATACAGCTTACTGACAGCACTAATCCATGCGTTACTCCGTGCTGCTGGAATCAGACGGTTATGAACTGGCTCCGCGAACTGGTAGTTTTGCTACCTACGATATGGGTAGCTGAGCAGAAATATACAGGTTACCCATCAAAAGTGAATGAAAACGTTTGTGTTCCTGGTACTTGCATGGATAAGGAAGAATGTAATGCCGAGCACCGGATCAATTGGTCTACTTACCTGAGCTTTTTACCTCTTACAGGAGTCCATCTTCAGATAAAAAGAATACAAACAAAAAGAGCTAATTGTGGTAGGTGTACAGCAATCAACTGCCAGGGGTCGTCAGATCGTAAGGGATACGAAACTGCAATGAAAAAGTAGGGGAGGTGGCGGCTCTAGAGGTATACGTTATTTAACTGTCAGTTACTCGTCAGTGGTATCAAGGTTCGTCCCGGCGTCAGCAACGAAACCGGGGCAATTAAAAAGGATTTGCGTCAGTTAGCTGTGACGGACTCCTGGGTGTGACTGCACAGGGGTCTGTGCGCTGGCGTCAATTCTACACATCGGCTGATTGAATTCTCGTCCGTGGACCAGGCGTCAATCAATTCCCGGCTTTACTTATTTCCGGCGTAGACGAGTTCCGGTTTTCATGGTGGTTTCCTTATCCCTTACGATTTAACACATCCTGACGGTTAATTTGTGTACATCCACTATAAGTACCGCCTCTTTTGTTGCTGTTTCTTATTTCTAAAAATGGACTCCAGTAAGAATTCTAAAGCTCAGGAAAATAAACAAATTGATCCGGCGCTCGACAATGCAAATTCCTGGAACGCGGACGTTTTTACCCATTCATGAATCACATTTGCCAATCGGTTGGAATTCGCATTCGCTTTTTGTAATTCTATGCTCTTTTCCGCTAATACGGCTGACTGGCTGTACTAATCCATGCGCAACTCCGTGACGTTATATTCAGATGTCCATGGACTGACTCCACGCATCGGTAATTTTGCTACCTACGAAGTGAGTGGCTGTGCGGACATGTACAGCTTACCCATCACAACTGCATAAAAACGTTCGCGTTCCAAGTATTCACGTGAATACCGAAGAAGGCTTGCCAAGCACGGGATTAAATGCTTTATGATCCTGACTTTTCGAAATCTTACGGCAGTCCATCGTCAGAGATAAGAACCAGCAACAAAAAGGAGCTAATTAATCTTCAGGTGGTAAGGGATAAGAAACTGCGATGAAAAACGGTATAGGACCTGAGGCAGAGAGCAATTGTAGAGGTATACGTTAATTAGCTGTCAATGAGGTCAAGGTTCGTTAGGACGGCAGTAACGAAAATGGGAGCAATTAAAAAGGATTTGCGTCAGTTAACTGTGACGGGCTCCTGGGCGTGACTGCACAGGGGTCTGTACGCTGGCGTCAATTCTACACATCGGCTGATTGAATTCTCGTCCGTGGACCAGGCTTCAATCAATTCCCGGCTTAGCTTGTTTCCGGCGTAGACGAGTTCCGGTTTTCATGGTGGTTTCCTTATTCCTTACGACCTCACACCTCCTGACGGTTGATTGTTGTACATCCGCTATAATAAGTCCCCTGTTTGTAACTGTTATTTTCTCTGACAATGGACTCCTGTAAGAGTTGAAAACCATCTCAAGATAGTAAACCAATTGATCCGGTTCTCGGCATTCCTTCTTCCGTATTTAACGCATGTATTCATTCATGCATCACATTTGCCGATCGGCTGGAATTCGCATTCGCTTTTCTTGTTAATTCTATGCTCTTTTCCGCTACTATGGCTGACTGGCTGTACTAATCCATGCATAACTCAGCGCTATTATAGTCAGATGGTAATAGACTGACTCCACGCATCGGTAGTTTTGCTAACTACGATGTGGGTGGCTGAGCAGACCTGTACAGTTTCCCCATCACAACTGAGTAAAAACTTTCGCGTTCTAGATATTCGCAGGAATACTGAAGAAGCATTGCTAAGCACGGAATCAGTTGCTTTTTTATTGTGGGTTTTCGAACTCTTACGGCAGTCCATCGTCAGAGAAAAGACCAGCAACAAAAAGGGAGGGGAGGTAATTATAGTGGGTGAAAACCAGTCAACTGTCGAGAGTCGTCAGGTGGTAAGGGGTAAGAAACTGCGATCAAAAAAGGTAGAGGAGCTGGGGGAGGGGGCAATTGTAGATGTATACGTTAATTAGCTGTCAGTGATGTCAAGGTTCTTCGGGGCGGCAGCGACGAAAATGAGAGCAATTGTAGAGGATGTGCATCAATTAATTGTGACAGACGTCTGAGCGTGACTGCGCAAAGCCCTGTACGCTGGCGCCGATTCGATACATCGGTTGATTGAATTCCCGTCCGTGGACCAGGCTTCAATTTATTCCTGTTTGTGGCGTAGGCGAATACCTTTTTTCGTGATAGTTACCTACCTTCTTACGACCTGATAACTCTTGACGGTTGATTGGTGTTGTTGTTCGTTTCTCTGACACTGGACTCCTGTGAGAGTAACAAAAACTCAGGATAATAAACCAATTGATCCGGTGTTTGGAAATTTGTCTTCCTTATTAACGCAAATACCTAGAACGCGAACGTTTTTACCCATACATGAACCTTGCCCGTCGACTGGAATTCGCATTCGCTTTTTTGTTAATTCTATGCTTTCCGCTACCACAGCTCACTGCTAGCGCTAATCCATGAATAAATCCGTGCTGAACTGGCTCCACGCATCGGTAGTTTTGCTACCTACGGCGTGGGTGGCTGAGCAGGCATGTACAGATTGTCCCCCTCGTGTGTGCCTCGCTGACTTACCCATTTCAAGCACCTCCCAGCCTCCCTACACACTTCTATTTTTCGAACTCCCACAGCAGTCGTAGGACATTTGTTGTAATTATTTTTAACTGAATTGAAAGCACACGCAAGTAATCAGTAGCGAACTCTCTTATGTTTATGAATGAATGAAAACTTTCGCCTTCCGGGTATTTGCACGGATAAGGAAAAAGGATTGTCGGGCAACGGATAATTTTGTCTATTATCCTGAGCTTTCGAACTGTGTCCATTTATTAAAGTGGGTGTATACTAACCAACTCTCAGGGGTGGTCAAGTGGTAAGAGGTTAGAAACTGCGATGAAAAAAAGAGGAAGAGGGGAGGGGCAATTTTACAGGTATACGTTAATTAGCT